AAGTGGATTAAGTCGTTTCTTTCCTGTAGAAAGCAGCGTATTAATATTAAACAAAAGTTTTCCGCCAATTTTACGTTGAACTGTGGAGTACCACAAGGAAGCTGTCTTGGACCGGTCCTTTTCCTATTATACGTGTCTCAACTGTTCCAGATTATTAACAGGCACTTACCTTCTTCCCATGGGTATGCAGATGACACTCAGCTTTATTTATCTTTCCGTCCTGAGTCACCCGTTGTCCAAGACCAAGCTATTCAAACTATTAATAATTGCATCGTCGAAGTTCGTGCTTGGTTAGTTTCACATAAATTAATGTTCAATGACACTAAAACGGAATTCTTGATAATTGGAACTCGCCAGCAGCTGTCTAAGGTTACAATCGACTCGATTGAAGTTGGTGATACTGATATAAAACCTGTACAAGAAGTCCGAAATCTAGGTTCGTGGTTTGACGAACATATGTCGATGAATGTCCATGTGGGCAAGGTTTGCAGCAAAGCATTTAGGGGCTTGTACAACATCCGACAAATAAGGAAGTTTCTCTCCATCGAATCAACCAAAACGCTCGTACATGCCTTTGTGACGTCACACTTGGACTACTGCAATTCTCTCTTGTTCGGCATTCCCCAATACCAACTTCAGCGTCTTCAACGAGTTCTCAATGCCGCTGCTAAAGTGACGTGTCTTATACCAAGATGTGCTCATATTACCCCTGTCCTGATGCACCTTCACTGGCTGCCTGTCAAGTTTCGCGTTGATTTTAAAATTGCACTTCTGGTATATAAAGCCCTCCACGGGATGGCTCCAGGCTACATTATGGAACTGTTGTTAGAAAAACCGAACTGCTGTTACCAACTGAGATCTGATGATCAGGGACTACTTTTTATCCCAAAAACTAGAGCCAAGACTCTTGGTGATCGAGCATTTGTGCATGCAGCTCCGTCAATTTGGAACATGCTACCTTCTGGTATTAGAAATAGTAAAACAATTGACTGTTTAAATCTCAATTAAAGACTTTCCTTTTTAAGAAAGCTTTCGATTCTAACTTTTAGATTTATAGACACCTATACCTTAATTCTTAATATTTTAGCTACTTGTATATAGTATAACCTCATTGTTGTAAAGCGCTTTGGAATATTTTATATAATTTAAGCGCTGTATAAATCTTTATATATTATTATTATTATTATTATTGTCTGCGTTACGACAGTACCTGGATCGGCCAGAAGCGTTGTTCGACCCCTCCGATGCGTTGGCGCGCATCTCCCATTTGGCTGCCGTCGCGCGTGACGCAGGGCACGAAAAGACTCTAGAGTATCAGGCGGTTCTCACTCTGCTGGAGAAAGCGAGGCACTCTCTCTCCAACGATGCATTCCAGCAGGTGGCAATAGCGGTCATAGGAGATCCTATCCAAGCAAAGGTAGCTCGGCAAGTCGCTAATGTGATGAAGGCGCAACGACACGCTTCCGAGGCGTCCTCGATTGCATCCGGCCCCTCCACGTCGGCGACGGGTTATACGGATGCCAGCCAGACGCGGCGTCCACAGTTTAGATGCATCCGCGCCCGATGTTTCGAATGTGGAGATTTGGGACATTTTGCTCGTGCATGCCCCAGCCGTCAGCCATACACTCGTCGGGAACCGCCTCAATGAAGTTGACCGTTACGGGCTGAAATAGACGTATCTGGTTGTGTGTAATCTTGTCTGCAATAATCTTATTTTGTGTGCATGGATTCATCTTGCATGATCTTGTAAAAGCAGCTGGAAGTTGTGATTTATGTAGTTAGTATTTTGTTTAAAAATAAAACGAACATTAATACGCAAGTCGTCTCGTGATTGTTTGGCTCGCATGCGTACGACGTCCTACGTTGGTTCGAATTAGTTGGGGTATAATTTGAGGCGGGTGGATTTTCATCGGTTCCTAAGCGTCTACCCACCGAATTCGGGAACACTTACCGTTTGTTTTCACGTAGGAACCCGGGGGTGTCTCTTTTCCCGTTTCTGTTTGTCCGGTTGGTCCTGAGGGAGTCGTCTACGACCCTAATGCTGATTCTCCATCGGCGCTCGGAACCAACGGGGAGGGGGGAGGAAAAAGAAAAAAAAGGGACGTAATCGCCGCACACACCCACCTTGTGAATTTTTCCTTTTCTCTAGCACAACCTCGGAGGATTCGAGGGAAGACTACAGCACGCGATGCAAAGAATGCGGCGGTCACAGGATATTAGGTGGTGTAGTGTTGATGGTGCCGGTCCACCCCGTTGGTCCTGCTGTTGCGCCGCAGTTGATTATACACAACCCAACTCTCGCGCGTGTTTGCGATCTCTCTTTTCGTGACCCGGAACACATCGTGGCATGGGAAATTCACAATCACGCCTCCATTTTGGCGTCCATTACTTGTCGAGCTCCCGTGTCTGCAGCATCAACTCTTTTCTGGCATAATAAATAACGGAGTCAATGTCAGAGATTTCTTTCGCCCTTTCACTGAAACCTTTCGCGGAGTCAGATACGATGCTCCGAGTCCGCCAAGGGCGATTTTCGATAACGCCAATAATTGTCACCAGTTCGAACAATTCATTTCGACAACGATTTTTGAATGGGCACCAGGCACAATTAGGCCCGAAAGGATAAGTTTTTCAAATTCGACAACGATTTTGGAATGGACACCTAGCCACAATTATCTGGAGAGCGACTTATTGGATTATTTGTTAAATATTTCTGACGACATTCTGGACAAATATTCAGACACTGTAAATGTTTGTGGAGGGGATTTGAACAGTTTGGACATAAAACACCTTGAGGAACTATCAGGATGGGGTGGAATGGTCGACTTTTCAACAAGGGGTAACGCATGTTTGGATAACTGCCTTACAAATAGAATAGATTTGTTCTCAAAATGTTATCCTTTCCATATGTTAACTAAAACAGACCACATAGGGGTTATTTTACCAGCAGGAACAAAACTAAAACCTATGCGCCGAAAGGTTGAATTTCGGGATTGTAGAAAGCATCGAAAGAAAGATTTCCATAAAGCTTTAGCAGAAGAAGATTGGGAGGATGTATCGCAGTCCACGAATGCAAATGACGCTGTGAATTGTCTTGAACGTAAGATCATGAATCATATGAATAAATGTGTGCCCACAAAACAGTCTCAATTTCGTCACGCGACCCTTACTGGATGAGTCCTTTAATTAAATCTTTGCTAAAAGCTAAATCCAGAATTGCTCGGTCGCAAAAGGATAGACTCAGTTTAATTAACAAAAGGATTTCTGATGTCATTTGTCTAAACAGAAGAAATTTTAGGGCCTTGGTGGGAAGTAGAACTTGGTGGAGAAAGACGAATGATATTTCTCAGCGAAATGCATCGTCATCAAGAGTTACTTTAGATAATGCATCACTTACAGGATTAAATCGCTACTTTGGCGAACTCTGCCACGATGATAGTTATGTCGAACCGACGCTCTCAATTA